TATTCTTTTTATATTATATTTATATTCGTTTGTAATAATTATTAAAGTGATCGTTTTTAATAAAAAAAAACAATCTTCAGTTAATAGTTAATAGAAAAATTTTATTTATTTAATTCACGTATTTTTTTATTAATAATAAACAAAAAAATTATTATTTTTATTTCATTGTAATAAATGTTAAAATAATATTTCAAGTTTATTTTTATTTCATACAAGCGATGAATTAAATAGCATAAAATTTAACAATGCAAAAATTTTCGAGTGTAACAATTTATTCTTAATAACAATTGTATTCGGTTGATTTTATTACGAGTAAACATAAATAAACAAATTTAGATAATTTTTACATTGACCAAATATATCTTTATGATATTTATTCTTTACCATTATTTAATTTATTGCTTATTGTGCATTAAATAAATAAATTTTATATTTTTATTAACTATAATAAATATTTCAATATAAAAAATTATTCAATATAAAATATTCAATTTAAAAAATAATCAATTCGATATTATTATAAAGAAATACATTATAAAGCAAATATCTATCGCATCGATATTAATGTATATTTTTTTAAAGAGAGCGTTTTAAATAATTTATCATTTCTTAATGCTTTATAAATGAAAAATGTTAAAAAGTTAAATGCCTAACAATATTTTCTACTTTGAACAATAGTTTCATATTCATTTGATATCTATTGTCTGGACTAAATATTTTAACAAGCTCAAATCTTACGAGACTTACTTCACAAATGTGTTGTGCATACTAAATGAATGTGACAATTCTATGTTAACTGCCTATTTATTAAGAGGCTTAAAGTCTAACTTACTTTAATGTTTTCTAAAGTATAAGTTCCTGAAACGTTTTCAAAGGTAATATGATGAAATTATATGTATTATATGTATGTAAATTATATCATAATTATCATTATGTATAATAAATTTACAAAGGAGGACAATTTATTATTATAAGTCTATATTTACTATAATCGAATTATAAATGCAATTAAAATAGGAATTTGCTGTTTTTATGTATACTATAATTTTCATAGATTAAATGAAACTGAATTTTAAATTTGAAAATAATATAATAAATATTTATCTAATTTTTAATTTTATTAAAAACAAATCATAAATTTTAATCAAAGTAGAAATTTATAAACAATTCATTGATTTCATATTATTTTGCGTTTATAAAATTAACAATCAGTTTTAACCTATTCGCTTTTAAATTATATAAGTAATTTATCTAATTGTATATTGATTTAATTAACGTATTTAAAACATACATTTAAAAATAAAAATAACAATGTGTTAAATGAATTTTCATTAACTAAAACATATTAAATAATTTAATTAGATCATCTATTTTATATTATATAATCAAGTAAAAAAAATTATAAAGTTTATATAAATAATAAAAACAGAAAATTAAATCGAACTAATTTAATTTTTAAATTATCAGTTTTGATAGATATTAGTAACTCATTGATTAATCATATTTACTATATGATGTTTTTTATATTCACAGATAATTTCAAGACCAAAAACATCGATAAATTTTCCAATTAAATTAATTAATTTTCTTTGACATATTACAAAAAAGACAATTATTTCAAATTGATGTAGATATCTTGTTTTCCCACGATTCTTTATTTGTTACATTTTTCAGAAACAAGCTCCGCTATAGTGACAAAATGTTCTCCGTACGTTTCATATTAGAATTCTTGGAATGCGAAAACTAGTAGCAAGTGATTCATTTCCTATATTTTTTTCTTTTAAACATTAAAAATTGGATTAAAAATCGAGAAGCGAGCCATGTTGCTCGCTATAAATTATCGAACAAAATTCAGAATCAATTAAAATCACACAACTAAGTATAATGAAACATTTTTTTTTCTTTAAGAATATTTTTAAAATTAATATTCAATAAAATGAAAATATCATTAAATGATATGTTAATAATGATTATAAAAAATAACTTTAATAATTAGATATAGTCAATCAAAGTTTTATTTCATATTCAAAACTTTTGTCAAAGAGAAAAAAATATTTTCAAAGATATTAATTTTTAATGACATGAATAATCATGAAAAATATTTATTAAAATAATATAAATTAATGATGTAAATTATAAATCAAATATTATTTACATATTTAATTTTTGAAACAATCAAGATTTGTCATATTAATATTAATTGCAATTATATTTTGAATTAAAGCAATATTTAATATGTCTTCTATTTTTCTTCCTTCTTGTTAGTTATAAATAAACAATTTCAAGATTATTTAAAATTAATTTTTTAGTTTATATTATAAAGTTTATAAATGTATGTCATAATAAAAGAAAAACTATAAATGTTGAACGTAAAACTTTCATAATAATTAGAGCAAGTAGCAAACGTAAATAGTCACTAATCATAATATCAAACCACATATCAATTTAAATGAGTGACTAACAACGAATGTTACACATTACAGTGTTATTAAACAATTGTCAAGGTTCAAAATATATACATATGTATATATATATATTTTGAAATCGTACAATCATACGTGAAATACAATTTCCTAATTATTTTTAAACATTATATCTTATCTTGTTTACAAATTTATATATAATATTATCTATTTTCATTTCTTTAAATAATCTTTAATGATCTCTTATTTTTTTTTAAATTATAAATAATAATTTAAATACTTATTATACTCAATTGTATATACTCACAATTAATCAAAAAAATCTATATAATATTATCTAATAAAAAAATTCAGTTAACCAAAAAAAATTTTAATTTTAATTTTAAAGTTTGTAAATAGATATGTAGAATATAATGGATTTATATATAGAATAATCTTTTTTCGATAGAAAATCTCTTTAAGCGTATAAAATCATCATTTTATTAAAATTTTGCTCGATAATATATACTATAATATTTATTTGCTTCAAAATTGGAAATAAATAATTATATATTAATTATATAATAATTTGATATTATATATGATAAAAAAAGTATAACATAGTCATTAAAATAAAAAAATTATAACATAATAAACATTTTATTAATCCTGCAATCTTTTTTCACACACTATCTTTTCGATTCATTGAATGGATTTTTCATGTCTTTCGCATATTTATATCAAACAAAAATTTTAAAGAAAATTTATCATTATATTCTTCTAATATCTATTTTTAAAAATTATATGTTCGAAAAAAAGTTATACGAGTTTTATATTTACAATAAATTTAATATGACATCATAATTAAAAATCAATTCTTTTGGAAAAATTCTAAATTATTCACATATTATTGCAAATTTCAATTTTGCATAAAATTAAAGTTCATAATATAACAAATAGTAAATTTTTTTTTTAAATAAAAAACATTTTTAGATTTTTGAACGTGAATGTACACATGTATGTTAACAATTTAATGATCCTATAGTATTCATACTGCAATATCATTCTCCTTTCGAAAAATGAGACCTCTAACAAACTTTGCACAATGAATTTTATTAATTTTTAGCATATTAACAAAAAAATTTAAATATCAGAAACAAAAATTTTATTTGAAAAATCTCTATTTCCAAAATATAAATAATTATAATTTGCATGTTTGCAAAATTCACTTTTTTTTATCAAATAACATTTCTCGCGTAATTTTTCTTTATGAATAAAATTTATAAGATAAAATTGAAAAAATAAATACTTTTTTTAGGAATATTTATTTTTTATTGCAAAACTAGATAATATGTGTTTTATGTTACATCATAATTATTAATTATAAATTAATTAATAATATAAATTAATTATAAATTAATTAATAATTAATTGATTAATAATCAAATTTAAAAAGAATTACTTAAATATAAAATAAATCAGATTGAAATAAGATATAATAAAATAAGAATGTGAAATTATACAATATAAATAAAAATACAATATAAATAATGTAAAAAAAAAGAATGCGATAATTTAATGTTAACATGCTAACTAATTAAATATTAAATGCTAAACAATTAAATGAATAATAGAAAATTTTAAGAATTGCATAATATTAAAATATTATAATCATAGTAAGTTTAAAAAAAAATATAGATAGAATATTGAATTTTCAATCATCTTATTTTACGAATAATTATATTTTATGAATATTTCTATTTTATCAATATTTTTGCAAAAAAAAAAATTAATATTACAGTTACAAATTAATATACAGTATAATATTTTATATTTTTAAAAATTTATCTTTATGATATATCTTTTTTTTCATTTCATCAAAACTGAAATATATATTATTATATTAACTGGAGTGTTTTATATAATAATATATATTTAAAATGCTTATAAAATATAGATTTTTTTTTATATTTAAAGACAAATAATTGATACTATACATTTACATTTTATATAATTTTTATATCTTAATATCTTTTTATAAAATATAAAATACATATTTTCGAAAATATTAATTTTTTTTTATTTTTCTATTATAATTTTTATGTATAATTTAATTATATTAAAAAATTATTAATAATATAATTTGATATATTATATAATAGAATTTTATATCAAGATATTAAAAATTCTTTTAATTATAATCATTTTTTTAAAAAAAATAATTATAATAATTAAAAAAGAATTGAAAGAATTTATTTTAATATTATTTATTAAATATTAAAATATCAAATTATTCGTAATATGAATTAAAAATAAAATAAAATTAGATATATATTTATATCATGATATAATTTTAATTTTAATATTACAAGATGAATTATTTATTATATTATTGAGTATAAATTAAGTATTTGGCCATTTTGCATTAAATATAGTGTTAAAATTATAAATAATTAACTTTAATGTATTATCGTCATAAGATCATAAAGCAAGAGAAGTGAAGAAGTAAAATATGACAAAAAAATTATATTCTAAAATTAGAAAAAAAAGATGAAAAAAAATTGATAAGTGTTTGTCTTTTTTTTATTTGTTTCTTACCTTCCCAAGAAGTTGTCCTTTGTAATAAGCGTTTCCTTGAATCGGATCAACAACGTAATCCAACTCCTCCGCGGAATTGTTCCAGGAAGACGTGGACGGTCCTGCCGTAATCACGCTGGTAGTCCTTATCAAAGACGTAGCGGTATTACTAAGACGACTGCCACTGACCGAAGAAGTAAGATTATTAGTGCCAACGGTTGTAGTGACAGTCGCGACGTTGTTCGTCAGCGAAGTAGTATCCTGCATATTGTTGTCACCTCTAGATGATAGTTGCATGGAAGAAGCATAAATAAGCGTGGATGTACGCGTGGTTGTACAAACGGCTTCTTCGTCGTTTCTATAACCATTGACATTGTTTTCTTTCGGTGGTTCAATAAGACAACTAGGATGCAAAGAATACGTCGAGAGTTCTACGTCTAAAGGTAACGAGGATGCGCCGTTTTTTTGACTTTTTCGACGTACGAGGCTTTGCAAAGATGTGGAAACCTTCGAAAAACTTTGATACGGGTGATTATTGATGGATCTGCTACTATTAGCTGATTCAATCTTCTTTTTCGAATATTCTGATTCTGGTATAGTTTTAGTCGTCTCATTGCTTTCTTCTTGACATCGAGCAACGACCTCTCCCTCTAAGAAACGGCAAGCTGCTGTTTCGGTATGCAAGTCACCGGGCATCGTCTCCAGGAGGAAACTTTTACTTGTCGTATCATATCCTCTTGGAGATGATGAACTCCCGACTTCTATCTCGAGCGTGTTCGAAGGTAACATTTCTAACTTTAGATTCATTTAGCGACGGCTTCAGATAGCGTCTATAAAATATTTGTACTTTGCTTCAGGAAATCAATTATTCAGCGCACCCTGAATAGCGTATATAACATTGATTCTTTCCTTTTTCTGCAACACGTTTTTTCGCTAACTTATACACTATGATGTTACATTCCGTTTCGCGGGATGTCATGTTATATTTGATTTTGGCATTTAACATAGACGACGCCTACTTCTTGACATCCATGATACATGTGCACTCCGAAATCGTTCGATAACAGCGTCACGACATTAAATACGCTTTGAAATAACTCTTCTTTCTTTATAAGACGAACAAATCTCTGTCCAAATTCCAAATGTGAGATCGTAAAACAGCATTCGGGAACGCTTATAAATGTAGAATATTATTATTAAAACAAAACGCACGCGTTCTCTTATCACTGACCTATCAGTTATGCTCATAAATCCCAACCGCTTGACCAGTCGAATCGTCACTGTTCCATGCGCACCAACCGAACGACCCAACACCCTCAGTCTCTATCCTCCCCACTACTACCACCACCTGAGCTCTCAGTGCCGTCGATAAAACCTAGTTGCTTTGACATTTTTCTTTCGATATTATAATCATAAAATTTTGTTTTTTACATTCATATATTTTCGCATGAAATGTCTTAAATGTAACAAAAAAAAACATTATATTTCTATTCATAAATATATTTACTTAAATTATTATTAATAAAATATATCGTTTTTATAATAATAAAATTAGAATATCAAAAGAAATATATTTTCAATATTCATGACAAAGATAAAAAAAAGAATAGTTATAGAAATATCTTGAATGAATAAAATTTAAATTTCTTATATGTGTTTAATTATATTATATTTAATAAACAATTTAAAGTAAAGATACGTTTTTATGTAAATCTTTTTGAAATACTAAAATTACATTTGATTATAAGTATATTTCAATAAAATAATAAAATATTTTTTTTGCACTATTTATTTTGTTAATTTTAAATACATTTTGATAAAATAGCATGAAAGTTTCTATATAATGGTAAATCGTGAGAAAATGTTGAGAGATATTGTTTTCAACGTTATGTAGAAAGGAAATGCGAACATCAATATACTATTTTACTTGCAGGAAGGAAGTTATTTAAATTTAAAATATATATATTCATTCTCATAATAATATATATTATTAGATACATTATTTGATACTTTTTAATTTCTTTTAACATTTCCTGAAGCTTTCCCGAAACATTATATAAAAATAAAATTAAACAATATATTATTAATATTTTGGAAGCAAAACATTTCACATGCTATAAAACATTATAATAAAGGTAACTATTTATAAACATTATAATAAAGGTAAATATTTATAATAAATATTTATATAAATACATACATATGCAAACAAAAAGATTGTTGACAGCATAATATAATATAATATAATTTGTATATGTATATATAACATTTCAACAATAATTTAATTGTCTAGAATCAGTATTTTATTTGCTAATAAAAAGGAAAAAATAATTTAATAAAGTCTTTTAGTTTAATTTAAACGCTAATCAAATTAATAAAATATAAATAAAGCAATATAATAATTGAATATAAAATTATGATAGAATGTTAAAAGGGAAATAAAATTTAAAAAATGCTAGATATATGTATTAAATTTACATTATATAATGTTATTAAGGATTAATTATTGAAAATATATAAATAGTAATAAGACAATAATTGATAGAATGCTACGGCCCTGATTCTACTATTTGCTTCGTTGTCCTCGTGTTAAATCTGCTTACTTCTTCCCGCTTGTTCTGTTACCCTTCTATCTCTCTTCTTTTCCATACCAGAACCCTACCATCGTCAAACGGAGAACATGCATCGTCCTATCATACGTATTCGGTCATTCACACAAAGTGAATACCTGTTCCAACATTTGAGATGCGCTAAGTGCATATCTAAATATAGGAACAGCAAAGAAAGAAAACTTAATAGCAAAGAAAACTTGCTTATAGAATCTAATGCAACTGTCATATATTTTCTAAATTGTTTTCCTTCGAAGACTATTTAATTTTTGCTCGATATTTCAGAAATTTATTTCAATGATAGAGAAATAAGTAATAAAGTAAATAACAAATAGTGCGATCAAATACAATGAAGATTTTTAATAAGATTTTTATAAAAAAAACTAATTATATATTATAATTGTAAAATTCAATTTGAAATTTTCTATTAAAACTTTTTTCAATATATTTTGGAAATTCAATAAAGAAAAATATTATAAATATTTAAATTTTGTTAATTTTTTTCAATTTTGTTTGTCAAACTTTTTATTTATTATCTTTTTTTCATAATATTATATAATTTAAATTTTATTGCTATATAAAAGAATAAATAACTTAAATAATTAATTAGGATATTTTTATTTTAATTTTTAAATTATTTATTAGATATTTTTATTTTAATATTTTTATAAATTATCGAAATTAAATAAGAAATTATATAAAACAATTTACATAATACATAATTAAAATATATTATTTACATAATTAAAAAATATCATAATTCTTATTCTCTAAATTCGAAAACATACTTACTATATATTTATTAAAATTAAATAAAATAGATAAATGCACTAACAAAATTAAATAAAAAATATATTTATATATTTTTTCAATAATATCTAAATATTATAATTAAAATATTGAAATTAATCTTTCTTTATTTAAATCTCTTAAAACATAAAAATTAATTAAATATAATATAATACTATATAATTAAGTAACTAATATTATTTAATATTATTACTATTAAAACAATATTTAATAGAAACATTTCCATATTCATTTATAATGTATTAATTAAACTTATGCGATTATTGTATATATAACTTATATATACAATTATTATATAAATGCATAATCGTAAAATATTTACTTTAATTACAACATATTAAGTACAACATATTAAAAAATAATATATCATTTAAAATTCTTTTTTATGTAAAATTGAATATTATTTAATATTATAACATCCAATAACATCAAATAATAAAAAACGANATTAAAATTATAATTATTATAATTAAAATTATAATTATAATTATTAATATTTAATTGTTAATCTATTATTTTCATTGTATAAGTAAAAACATATTATAGAAATATGAAATAAATTATATATTCTATACCTTATAAATAATAATACTTTTATGAATTAAAAAATTTTTTTTTAATTATTTATTAAAAACATATAAAGAAATATCTTTTTAAAGTTAATATTATTAATTTATATTATTTATATTATTATTTTAAATATTTTTATTTTTTATATTTTTTATATACTATTATTAATTCAATTTTATTTTTTAATTCAATTTTAATCATAATTATCATGTTAATGTATTATTAGTAATTTTTTAAATGCATAAAAAAATATTTAATCTTAAATTCCATAAATGATAATTTATATCACATCAATTCATTTTTTAAATATTATTCACAAAGTATTAATTTACTTATTTAAATATTTCAAAATTTAATATTTTTTTAACTTTAAAAAATAATTTAAATTAAGAAATTATAGAATTATATTTTATAAAATAATAAAAAGTAAAAAAAATTTAAAATAATTATCTTAAATTAAAAATATTTAAAAAAAAAATAAATTTTTAAAAAATAATTAAGAAATTAATCAATAAGAATATAATATAAATAAAATTTAAGTTAAAACAAAAATTATTGTATATTAATTTATAATAATATTAGATAACTGAATATTTTTCTTATTTTAAGAATTTTTTTAATTAAAAATTTCTTTGATCGTAAAAATGTTTTAATCATGTATTAAATTTATATTTCATTTATCAATGTATTAAATAATGGTTTAATTCAAATAACTTTAGATTTATATATTATAATTTTTAAACATGATTTTTATATTATTATGTTTTCATATATCATTAAGTCACCACCTGCTGATACATTAGTATATATATGTATATCACAGCGCAATCTATCGTTTTGATATGTACTATTGTTAAAGAAAAGTTCGAATATAAATGTTGCTGATTCATAATCTAGAAACAATAAAGAAATATTTTAAGTGTGAGGAAATATTAAGATATTGTTATAATTAAAAGAATAATTTTCATCAATTTATAGCAGTGCTTAAAATTTTTTACGTTGAAATTAGATTTTTAAATTGTTTGTTTTGTTTGTATAACCTATTTCTTATGTATTCATCAAGGAGATAACGTTGACATGAATTATTACTGGTTCGAAGTTCGCGTGCCATTCTTATCGAAGTGTGATTCATATTTCTTTTGACAGTACTTCCTTGTTTCTTTGTTAGTATCAACGTAATGTTCGAATTATACCAACATAATTTACGTAATATCTACTACGTCGTAATAGTGCGATTAATGATTCCATCAAGTTACCTTCTAAATTTTACTTTTTTCTATTACAATCACGAAGATGTTTAAAAGAAAAAATTGTAACACAACTATTGTAGAATATCAAATTCAAAAAAATGAATTCGTTTTTGAAAACTGTCAATTCAATGACAAACAACAGAATTATCTTAATCAGAGAATCGTTGCAAAAGCAATTAAATATTTGTGTGATGGAAATGCAAGGTGCATCAGGAATAGAAGAAAACAATACAATTGGCAATTGTGACGAAAGTATGACCTTATGTTCTGTTTTGGAAGCTATCTTTTTACACGGTTTAAAAGACAGCCTTCTGAATCGAGTAACAGAAGTTTTAAGTGGTCCAGATTTCAATGCAATGCCACAACCAAGTTTTTGGGGTCCATTGCTGGTGTTCTCTCATAGACAAATCATAGCTCAAATACAAACATTAAGCCAACTTACCACAGAAGTTGGATATTGCAGAGCTTGGATACGATTAGCTTTAAACGAAGGTCTTTTAGCTAGTTACTTTGGTGCTATTAAAAGAGATAATTCAGCATTAAAGCCATATTATAATCGGTCTGCATTCATTAGAGATACAGATTTTGTGGAAGTTGCACAGAGATTAATTGAAAGTTTAGATCACATATGTTTTGAACTTGCATGTAATAGTAGCTTATTAAACTTTTGGTCGAATACTCCTCTTCTATTAGCAGGCATATGGTCACCACCAATGAAATCTTGTCCAGTATTTAGTGCAGTAGATATTGCAAAAACAATAACTACAGAAATAACAGACAGTGACAATTTTGATGAAGTTGAAACTGCTAGTTCAATTGGTAGTTTAGGTTCCTTTAATTCACAATCCGCTCTTAGTAATATGGTTTGTATAACAGAGGATGAAGCTTTAAAAATTATATTAGCTAATAAAAAATCAAACAATATTGGTACAGAATTAACCAATAATTCAAGAGATACTCCACCTTTAAAAGAAGAAGAAGAAAAAGATTTATTAAAAGAACAAGAAATAGAACATACAATTTTAAATAATGGAAATCAAAAAAATGATACAGAAATTAATATGTGTAATGATGTTGAAGATTCAACAATTGAAAATATTGTGCAAAATCATGAAACTTCGTATGATATTGTTGTACCTACAGTAGGAAATTCATTAATTGGTAGATTAGGATGGTCTACATCATTTGAAGATTGTGAATCTTCTTTAACTTCATCTGTAATGTCTCATGATTCTGGGACAAATGCACCTCGAACTCCAGGTGATGGACCTACGTATGATGCAATCATTCAAAGCTACCATACTGTTGGAAACTCATCTGTCCCAGATCTTCAAGAATTTTTAAAAAAATATCCAAAAAAGCAGCAATCTAGTGATGAAACTAAAGTTCGATCAGAAAATAAGGTATAATTGTATTATGTTTTTAAGATTTATTTGTATTACATTTTGTTTTAATCCTAAATATAAAATATAATAATATAAATATAATGAAATATAATATTTCTTGCTTTGATTACAGATTGTAATAAATTTTGATGAACAATTGGGGAAACTTCCCAGAGAGAAAGGTTTAGATGTACAAAATTATAGTTGTTTTGAATGTGGACATGCAATTGGTATGACTTTCTCAAAAGCACATGTTTGCTCTTTCTCTAGTAATTATTATTGTTCAAATTGTATGTCACAAAATGAATATCTTATTCCATCACGAGTAGTATATAATTGGGATTTAAAATGTTATCCTGTTTCTAATAAGGCAGCAACATATTTGCAAGATTGTCCTACATTATTAGATCTTAAAATTTTAAATCCACGAATTTATATGGCTGTAGATACTATGGCTCAATTACAATCATTAAGAATTCAATTAAATTTATTGAGAGCTTATTTATTTACATGTCGTGAACCTATAATTGAATCTTTACAAAAAAAGGTCACACCTAGAGATTATTTGTATGAACATGTTCATCAATATTCTGTTTCTGATCTTTATGATATCTCTAATGGAATTCTCGCGCAACAACTACAAAATGTAGTAGAATTTGCACGAAATCATGTTATAAATTGTTGGCTTTGTAGTCAAAAAGGTTTTATATGTGAAATTTGCAATAATCCAAAAGTAATCTATCCTTTTGATATGGGAACTACATACAGAGTAAGTGAATATTTTTATAATAATCATATAGAAGTTAATAACGAATAAAATTCAATTTGATAATTTATTAAATTTATATGATTTTAGTGTGGAGCCTGCAATGCAGTATTTCATGCAGAATGTTTAAATGCTAGTAAACCATGTCCAAAATGTGAACGAAGACGTAAACGAATGGATCTCCCTCTTTTAGATGTAGGATGTACAGATTTATCATTAGATGATGCACCAACATTTTCAGTTAATATAAATTAATAGATAAAAGTTTTAATAAATTATATATTTTTATTTATAAAGTTTTTATAATACTTTGTTTCTTATAAATTACTAAATTAACAGAATATATATTTATTAAAATTTATTTTTATAAAATTCAATAATTAAATATTTTATAAGCATATATTGATATAATGCAAGATTTATTTGTAAATACTTGTTACTTCTATTCTAAATAGTTTTAGTTTTTATTACATCTATAGTAACTAATAAAGTAAATTATATATTTAATATTAAGTTTTTATTTCTTTATGCAATATGTTCAAAGTATTAAATTTTATTAATTTATAAAAATAAATTAAACGTGTATGTAAGAAATATATATTTATGTAATATATATTTTATTAAAATTTTACGTATAAAAAGTAATAAAATATATAGATCATTTATTAAATTATATTTATTTATTATATTTAATACTATTTATTATTATATTCATATATTATAATGAATCATTATGCCTATGTTCAGCAAATATATTTTATATATATATCGATAAAACTTATTTAATATTTCTAAATATTAATAATTCGAAACATTTACCATAAAGAAAAAATTATATTGTATATATGAATCAATATATGCAAAATTAATGTTTCATTTTCAATGAAATTTTATATTTTTAGACAAAGTAAAATATATTAAATACTTTATTATAGATTATAAATTAGAAATTTACAAAAATTATACAAAAAAGAGTATAATTAATATTTATACAAATAATGCATATTAAAAAATTACAAAAAAATTATTAAAAATTATTAAATAATAAATTTAATTTATTTTATTTCTATTTCTATTTTTATTTTATTATCAAATAATATATACTATAATTATTGAAAATATAATATTATATTATATTATAAATAAATATATTTTAAAAAATATTTAATGTAAAATATATACAAATTATTTCTATTTATTATTAAAAATTATAAAAAATTTACATTCATAAACAACATTATATAAATTTTATCTTTTATAAATGCAAATTTATAGGAAATTTTTTTAGCCTAATTTTGTTATAAGGCACATTGATTTTTTTGAACTAATTATTTATTTTTTTATTTAATTATTACTTATTCAATGTATTACGGATTAATATTTCATGCTATAAAAAGAATATAATAATTAGATATATATTTACATATTTTAATTTATACAATGAAAACTTTACCAGGTTCCTATTTAAAAAATAAAATTATGATTTTATAAGATTATACTTGTTATTGTAACTTATAAATAATCTTGCAAAGGATTTTGTGAAAAGTCCTTATATGGCAACATTTATAGTAAAATTATAATATATTGATAAATTTAATTATATAAAAGCATAATTATGAATTGATATAACATTAAGAAAATATTATGTGCTTGTAATCATTAATATATAATTTTTAATTACTTTTTAATAATTTTTTTCAATTTTTTTATATTTTTTTTTTTAATAATATTAATATAGCAAATACAAAAACAATCTGCTTGCAAAAATATAAATTTTTAATTTTATTTATATTATTTTTTGTAAAATCAAATATCTACAGTTAAATGACATAAGAAAATATTAAATATATCTGAAAAATCTTTTTTTATGATACATATACATAAGAATTATATTTTTAAAAGTGAAATCTAAAGTTTGCCTTAATATTATTACTTTATATAATTACATATTTTGTACTTTTTTTAACATTTAACTTAAAATATTAACTATTTCTTTTACAAATGATATTATAATTTGATATTTTTATAAGATAATATTACAACTTTGATATGTATATATTATTATTTTACTATATGTAAATATTACTAAAAATCTTAATTGTACATATATTTAATCAATGTAAGGTTTTAGGAAAATATGCAGATGGCAAAATTGGCTTATCAGACAAACCTGCTCTTCTTAATCCACTTTGTTGAGTAACACTTGTACTTTTTGTCTTTGTACCATTTGATGGTACAGATGAATTATTATTTTCTATAATAACTGGCATTGAAGAAGCTGCAGCACTTCCAGATATTTTATTTAAAGAATTAATACGTTCCATAGGTGTACTAGTACTCGAGATTTGACCACTTTTATTAAATGTTGATATACCTATGGTATTATCAGTAATACCAACACTCATTGACCGTGCTGCTATACGTGAAGTTTGATTAATATTTGGATTTTGTACAATAGGATTTCTTAGTGGCACTCCGGATAATGTATTTGTTTGTATTTGTACTGTATTGGATGCAGGTGTACGTGTTTCATATTTATTGCTAATTAACTTATTTGTTCTAGGTAATGTTAATTGAATGGAAGATGGTACCGTAATTGGTACTGCTGCAGTAACATTTTGTAATGGAGATTGACTATCTGCTAATCGTCGATTTAGCCAACTTATCACTACAAAAATATAATAAAATAATATTAATTACTGAATGTAAATATTTCCTAGCAAGAAAATGAAATAAATATATATTTCTGATACTATATTATTTATCTTAAAAATATTTAAACTCAAGTAAAATATTAAATAATATTATATAAAGAAAAATTATTGTTATATGTATTTATATGTATTGTTATATGTATTTATAATTGACTAAAAATTTTATTCTAAAATATATTAAAAATATTAAATTACCATTATCATTATTTTTTATTATTTTTTCTTTTTCTTCTAATTGTGTTTGTTGAGTTTTGACTTGTTCTTTTAAATTTTCAACCTCTGTTTTTGCATCTTCTATTTCTTTTATTAAATTTTCCATTTTACTTTCTAACTGGCCAACTTCTTTTTGTTTAGTGTCTAATAATCTTTCTTGTTCAAGTGCTATACTAGTTCGTAATTTTAATTTAGATTTTGTTGAAGCAAGTTCATTTTGTAATTTTGTTAATATTTCATTAGCTTTGACTAGTTCATCACTTAAATTTCGTAAAGAATTTTGTTTACGTTGTAACTGACCTTCTTTCTCAGTTAAAAGATCTTCAAGATATTGTTTCTGTTCTTTGGCAGTTTTTAACATTTCTGTATGTTTATTAATAAGTATACTTTTATCTTTTAATTCTTGTTCAAGTACAGCAACTTTTGTTTTTAAACTATTTACTGATTTATCTTTTTCATGATAATCTGTATCCAATTTAGAATTTTGTTTTTTTAATAAATTTAAATCTCTTTGAGCAACATTAAGTTCTTTCTCAAGAGTTTGCAACTGTTTAAATTGTTCTATATTAGTTGCTTCAAGAAGAGATAATTTATCTTTGTATGTTACATTTTGTGTACGTAATTCTGCAAGTTCAGTATGAAGTTGTTTTATAATTTCTGTATGTTTACGTTCCACTTCTAATTTTTCTTTTTCATTTTGACATTGCCATTCTAGTTGTGCTTTAGCAAATCTACATAATTTAAGAATTTAATATTTGTTATATATTATTTGTTAAATATTTGTTATATAAATTAAATTATTTATATAAAAATTTGTTATATAAATTATTTATACACACCTATCTTTTTCAAGGCTTATTTGCTCTGATGAAAATATTTGGATTTGATTCTTTTCTGCCATATATTTTTGTTCCAATTGTTCCAATTCTTTTGTTTTTGTTTCTACTTTATTTGACAAGTCATTCAGTCTTGTTTCAAGTGTAAGTGCATCTCTGTTTTGTTGTAAAATATTTTCTTTCAATTGTTTAATTTTCATAGCCATATGTGTTTTTAAATCTGAATCACTTGCAGGTGATATATTTAAGCTTAAATGACATAAATGTTTGAAATTATTTGTTTCAACTAATTTGAAAATCCATTCTCCACTTTCTTCTGCTAATAGCAATAAAAATTTTGGTGGTGTTTTTGATACATTTGTGGAAGGTATTTGACATTGTTCTAATAAATATATTAATTGAGTTGCAAAATTATCAAAATCTACTAATAGTCCTTGTTGAGACTTTAAAATTTTAAAATCATCTTCTGTGATAAATAAAGAATAAAGAAAACAAGGATCATCATCATCTGCTAACAAAACGCATAAACTCTGTAATATAAATATATGTCATTAAATTATGTCATTGAAAAATTTCTAAAACATCTATCATCTAAAAATATATTTTAGATCATCTAATATATTTTTCAATAAATAAATGAAAATATATTTTAAAAATGATAATTAATATCTATTATATCAATATAATATAGGTTAATGCAAATATTACAAAACACATTACCTTCCGACATACAGGACTAATACCTGCATGAATTTCTACATTAACTCTTAATTCTCGTTGACGCTCTTCATTATGTTGTGGTTTCATATAAACTCTTTGTACTTTAGTATATAATATCTCAACATTATTCAATTGTAAACTGGAATCACCAGCCACTGCAGTACCTATCAAATTATTTAAATAATTCATTATTTGATCATACGTTTAATAAACATTTATTATTTTTAAGTCACTCAGTATTATGAATAACAAGAACAATATTTCAATTTTCATTTCATTTGTTAATTTTTTATAAATTATGAAAGGTTTACATGAAAGATTTTAAATTTTATAATTTACATATCAATCTAAGTATGCGTATTTGAAGTGCTGCCATCTTAGATATATATTACATTACTATTAATATTTCTATATACTATTAAATGTTTAAATCAATTAAAATACTATTAAATGTTTAAATCAATTTCATTCATTCAATTTATTATTTATAATAAATAATAATTTATTTACATAAATACATTTAAAATAAACTTTCGTTTTTTTATTTTATTGCTCAAAAATAATTTATTATTCAATTTATTATCATTATTATAATTAACAAAATAAAATTTGGTTAAATGTTATTTTACAATAATAATATTACAAATTACACAGAAACATAAAAAATATTATTCAATCATTTAATTACATACATATAATAAGAGATAAAAATATTAAAATTTTTTTCAAAAGTTTATTTGAAGTATATATAAATATATATGATATATTAAAGATATAATTTCTTTGCGAAAAGATATAAAAAAAATTAAAAAAAAATTATAAAAATTGTAAATAATTTTTTTTATTTTGAAATAAGTTAATAAAATTATTTTTTTTTATTCAAATTAGAATTTTTTATTTGTAATCAATATGATTTATTTGATGTATATACTTATATATTATAGTATTGATAAATATTATATATTATGTTAATATTATATCAAATTTTTGTAAAAAAACAAAATTAACTTTTCTATTTTTAACTTTTTTTCAAATAATGAAATTTATTTTATTTTATTTTATTTTATTTTATTTTATTTTATTTTATTTTTATTTTATTTTATTTTTATTTTATTTTATTTTTATTTTATTTTATTTTATTTATTTTCGAATTAATATATAATATATAATATATAATAATACTATTATAAATTGCTTTATATAGTTAATATAGTTATTTAAATAATAATAACTTAATTAAATTTAATTATTTGAATTCGATTAAACTAGTGAAATAATGGCGACGTTATATTTTACGTAAGAATATTCAATTTATATTGAATGATTTATATGTTTATTTTTATATTTAAAGTTTTTTAATAATTTTTATATTTTTATTTATAAGATTTTTTTAATTTATCTTAAATTTATCGACGACATAGCTAATATATAATTTTTAAGTCCATTTTCAATATTTTTAATAAAGTTTACTTTACTTTCCCGCGTAGTAAGAAAATTATAAAGCTGATTGGTTGAATCTTTTAAAATTAACCAATAATATTAAAGATCAAGGATATGACGTATAGTTTAAAACACTGTATATGTTGAGTTGTAACCGCGGTCGCCATGCCATGCGGTTGTTTCGTGATTGACAATTTCGTTCTTGAATATATCGTTAGAAATGTGTTTGAGAAATTATTTTCTTTGTTTTAAAAAGAAAAATTTACGAGGTGATAGTGTCGAGAAAGTGAGTGCATAATTACTATGAAGCGACAAATGATGTTTTGTTGAAAATTAAAACCTTGAACCCGCACCCTGTCAGTTAGAAGAGGTTGGATACAGCAGTTTGAATCCGACGATGCATTTTGTACATAAAGAGAAACAGGTAAACTTTCATTTTTTATTTATCGAAATATTTGCATTATTTGAATAATTTTATTTAAAATGAACATTAAAAATAATATTTTTTTTCTATTAAAAATTTCATGTTGAGAACACGTCGACCGGTTTTGCTTGTAGTGCTCCTTTCGTTCATTTTTCTTTAATTCACTGTTTTGTGCTGCCCCCTTACAGATGCATTGAAATCTCTTATGCAAGTTTCAAAACGTGCATTCGTATCGATAGTTACAACATATGCATAAACATAGGATAGAATAGAATAAACGCAACTCATATTTAAAATATTGATCATAAAAAAATTAAATATTTTGTTTTAATATTTTTTTTCGTTACATATAAACATCTGTATTCATATATATATTTATATATATTTAATGATTTTATGTTATAGAGTTTTTTATTTGATATTATTTGATATTTATTTGTTATTTATTTGATAGTTAGTAATAAATTTATGTATATATAACTAAAAATTATGCTCGAATTTTTTATTATACTCTAATGAAAATTTTATCAGTTTTTGAGATATTCTAAATCAAATTTTATTTAAATTATAATTTGAATATTTTTTTTATAAATAAAATAACCGATATTTGATTAAGACTGAAATTTAATGAATATTATATGAGATAGTAAATATATATATATATAATATTCATCAAATTTCAGTTTTAATCAGATATCAATTATATATAAAATCTTTATTTTCGATATTTATTTATTCGATATTTATATTATTTATTTTTTTAGAAAATATAAATTTTTATATTCGAAAAATATTTATACATATGTCTTATTCATATGTAGACGTTTTATTTTGAACAACTTTTATTATATAATTTTAACGATCAGATACATTTTGAAATTAAAATTAAATACATTATTATATATTTTATTAAGTTTTAATGTATCATTGTAAAATATAAAATATATAACTGACGAAAAAAAATATTCATATGATTATTATAAATTAAAAAACAATTAAAATAATAGAATAAAATAATTCTTAATTTGTGCTCATAATTTTATTTTTTAATTTGTCTTATACGTTTATAGAATACTGCTTAAAAAAATCTTATACATATATATTTTTGAATACTTAAATAAATATTAAAAGCAGTCTATAATGAAACTATAATGAAAAAAAAAAAAAAGAAATTTAAATTTTGTTAAAACTGATTAAGTTATTAAATTTTTGTAAAAATATAAATATCTTTGATAGATAAAATAAATTTAATATTTAGATGATAATTAACTTGGGGAAAAAAGTAGAGCTTTAATGTTTTAAAGAACAAAAATACAAAATAGTGAAATATATAGTATAGTATGAGAATATAATTGAATATATGATTTAGATTATTTAAAATTTATTAGTAAAATATATTGCTAATATA